ATGACCCACTCTACATTCTACTGCAGTTCGGAGGAGGATGGACCATAGATGATGGGACTTGCAGTACCATCACTCCCATTCTGAGACTGCTGTTAACCTCATCCAATGACTGAGCAGGACCAAACTTGGCACATAGACTTCTCATGACCCACTTTATGTCCTGGTGTTTTTTGGCTGGGGATGGACCATAGATTATGGGACTTGCAGTACCTTTGCTCAATTCCTGAGACCACTGCAACCCTCATCCAATTACCAATAAAGACCAAACTTGGCACACTGAGTCTCCTTTATGCACTCTACATCCTGGTGTGGTTTGGGGGAGGATGCACCATGGACGATGGGACTTACAATACCTGCACTCCCTTCCTGAGACCATTACAACTGCCAACAGTGATGGATCAGGATCACAATTTGCACAGAGAGCCTGCATGACCCACTCTACATCCTGGTGCAGTTTGGAAATTTTTTGAAATGGATGATGGGACTTGCAGTTACCTCACTCACTTCCTGAGACCACTGAGACCCTCGCCAATGACTGATCAAGACCAAACTTGGCACACAGAGTCCCCATGACCCACTCTACATCCTGGTGCACTTTCGAGGAGGACAGACAATGGATGATGGGACTTCAAGTACCTCCATTCCCTTCCCAAGACTGCTACAACCCTCATCTAATGTCCGATCAAGACCAAACTTGGCACACAGAGCCCCCGTGACCCACTCTACATGCCTATGCAGTTTGGAGGAGAGTTGACCATGGATGATGGGACTTGCAGTACCTTTACACACTTACTGAAACCACTGCGACCCTAATCCAATGACTGATAAATACTAAACTTGGCACACAGAGCCCCCATGACCCACTCTGCATCCTGCTGCAGTTTGAAGGAGGATGGACTTTGGATGATGGGACTTGCAGTACCTTCACTCACTTACTGAAACCACTGCCACCCTCATCCAATGACTGATAAAGACCACACTTGGCACACAGAGCCCCCATGACCCACTCTATATCCTGCTGCTGTTTGGAGGAGGGTTCACCATGAATGAGGGGACTTCAAGTACCTTCACTCACTTCCTGAAAACCATGCAACCGTCATCCAATGACCAATAAATACTACACTTGGCATAGAGAACCGCCATTACCCACTTTCTCTAATAACCCGGGCAGCGCCGGGTCCCCAAGCTAGTATGTATACACACACACACACACACACACACATGCAATATATTATATTGGGACTATCAATACGTTTGATTCTGTTTATGCTTGAAGTGAAAAGAATTTGTTTCAGGGTATTAACTCAGCAGTGCCAGGGTACAACTGCGTTATTACCATTTCCTGCTGTTTGGTGTGGACACTTTGCTAATATTAAATTTGATACAGATATGGCATCATTTCAAGATGTGCTTATTAGTTTATAACAGGACTCGGAAAACTTCGGTCCTCCAGGTGTTTTGGACTTGAACTCCCACAATTCCTAACAGCTTCAGACCACTTCCTTTTCCCTCTCAGCAGCATAAGCTCAGGCCTGGTGTAGAAGATGCAAGCGCTGGCCCACCTGCCATCAGTTCCTCTGCTTGGAGCATTACCTTTTTGGTTTATTTTAATTGAAACTCCCAGCATCCCCTGAAAAATTGGAGTGTCTTTATTTTCTGGTTGAGGCGTGCCTCTTTCTTCCCCTATTGCAGAGGGCACAGGGCCACCTGTTCATTTTTTAACAGGCAAGGGAAGGCTTGTGTCAACTGGGCACAATTCTTCCACTAACCTGGAAGCGGCATTGAATTTTACCCCTTGACTTACCCATGGGTTATTATCAAAATCCATAATTTGGGCCCCAAAACCTGCCCTGGACTTACACATGAAGTCGACTTGTACATGAGTGTGTATATGGAATTATGTTTATAAGTCTATATCGGAGTTTACACTGTGCAGGATCAAAATGTCTTCCCTGCTGTCTAGTTTGTTATGTGCTTTCCACAAGGAATGAGCCTTCAGTCATGTAGGCACCCATCTACTGAAGTGATACAGCACACCAGTAAGAACTAAGCATGACCACAGTGCAGAAGATACTACAGATCCAGTAAACTCTCCTGAATGCCAAATGAAGCAAGGAAGGACTTGTGTGAGTCCCATCAGGGGAGAAGGTGGGTTATAAATAAAGTCATATTATTACTATGATAAAGAGAAAAGCACGCAAAAGCAACTTTGAGTGTTGATTGAGAACAGCATATAACCACCTTATTCTTTCTCACTTAAACCAAAGACACATGAAAGATAGGATGCACATTTGGAGGCTATATATATATATAGAGAGAGAGAGAGAGAGAGAGAGAGAGAGGAGTTATATGGCCGTATTACATAATGCTGTAAGGTTGCACAAAACGAACACTCAATAATTGTATGGATATGGTGCAGTAAAATGCAACAGATAATAGGCTAAATATTGTTTTGTAACAAAGATAAATAGTAAATATTTCACGAAATTAGGAAGGAATATATAATAAACCTAACAGTTTCTCAGAGACAATATAAAATACTACAATAAAATGAAACACACAAGATGTTTTAACCTAAAGAACATCATATTATTTATTTATTTATTTATTTACTTTGCTTATATACCGCTGTATCTCAAGCCCGAAGGCGACTCACAGCGGTTCACAAACAGTAAAAACAGTAGAAACAGCAGTGGTTCCATGCAACATATAACAATTGACTTAACACATTATCCATAAATTAACAATAAGCAATTACAATGCACAATTATTACGAAAAACAACCGTACCCAATCTTCTCATCATCCAAGCGTAGTCCAGGTTCGTTGTCCATTGTTCCATTCCTATATTCCATTACCAGATTGCACTAAATTACTCAAACGCCTGCACAAACATCCAGGTCTTCACCTTTTTGCGGAATACCATTAGAGATGGTGCTAGTCTAATGTCCGTAGGAAGGGCGTTCCACAGCCGAGGAGCCACAACCGAGAAGGCCCTATCTCTCGTCCCCGCCAACCGTGCCTGTGACGCAGGCGGGATCGAGAGCAGGGCCTCCCCGGAAGATCTCAAAGTCCTCGTGGGCTCATAGGCCAAGAGGCGGTCTTGGACCAGAACCGTTTAGGGCTTTATAGGCCAAAGCCAGCACTTTGAATTGGGCCTGGTAGCAAACTGGCAGCCAGTGGAGCTGGCGCAACAAGGGGGTTGTATGCTCCCTGAGCGCCGCTCCTGTTAACAACCTGGCTGCCGTTCGTTGGACTAGTTGGAGCTTCCGAGCTGTCTTCAAAGGCAACCCCACATAGAGAGCGTTGCAGTAGTCTAAACGGGATGTAACCAGAGCGTGGACTACCGTGGCCAAGTCAGACTTCCCAAGGTACGGGCGCAGCTGGCGCACAAGCTTTAGCTGTGCAAATGCTCCCCTGGTCACCGCCGAAACCTGGGGTTCCAGGCTCAGCGATGAGTCCAGGGTCACACCCAAGCTGCGAACCTGAGTCTTCAGGGGGAGTGCGGCCCCATCCAACACAGGCTGTAACCCTATGCCCTGTTCGGCCTTGTGACTGACCAGGAGGACCTCTGTCTTGTCTGGATTCAATTTCAATTTGTTCGCCCTCATCCAGACCGTCACAGCGGCCAAGCACCGGTTCAGGACCTGGACAGCCTCCTTAGTAGCAGGTGGAAAGGAGTGACAGAGTTGGACATCATCCGCGTACAGATGACACCGTACCCCGAAACTCCGGATGATCTCCCCCAGCGGCTTCATGTAGATGTTAAACAACATGGGAGACAATATTGAGCCCTGAGGAACCCCACAAGACAATGGTTGTGGGGTTGAACAGGTGTCCCCCAACAACACCTTCTGAGATCGACCCTCCAGGAATGACCGGAGCCACTGCAAAACAGTACCTCCAAGACCCATCCCTGCGAGGCGTCCCAGAAGGATACCGTGGTCGACGGTATCGAAGGCCGCTGAGAGGTCCAGCAGCACCAACAGGGACACACTCCCCCTGTCGAGCTCCCGGCGCAGATCATCCACTAAGGCGACCAAGGCTGTCTCGGTACCATGCCCCGGCCTAAAGCCAGACTGTGCCGGATTCTAGATAATCCGTGTCTACCAAGAATGCCTGGAGTTGTGAGGCCACCACACGTTCCATGACTTTGCCCAAAAAGGGGAGATTGGAAAGAGGCCGATAGTTGACGAATTGAGTGGGGTCCAGTGATGGTTTCTTCAACAGCGGTTTTATTATAGCTTGTTTTAAGCTCGCTGGAATCTTGCCTTCCTGAAGAGAAGAGCATAGAGAGCAATTGCTTTGTTGTATATTAAAATATGTTTTGAGCACCATAAAACATTTTTAAGTGAAGTTGCTTTCACATGGATGTGATGAGGATTCCAATTCTCAGAATCCCCTACCAGTATCCTGGAAGAAGCAGTCCATTAAAGTAGCTTTCCTAAGCTCTGGTCTTAGTTTTTACAGGGGCTAAAGGTCAGCTCGGACCCCTGGTCCTAGCCTGGAAGTGAGTTCTGACTATGGAAACCCTACACTCAGTCTTTGATTTCTTAACTTTCCACTTGCAATTCTTTCTTCAGCCCCTCCTCACCCAACTTCACAGGAGAGAGAAACATGTGAAGGCTGGAGATACAATGTGAGAACAAAGAAAGATTTAAATGGATATAATCAAAAGCTTTCTGTCACATCCTGAATACAGGAAAATATTTAGATTAGCTTTAGAGTAGTCTATATATTTTGCGTGCAAGATCAAAACTGTTTTCTTTGAGAAAAAATGGGAAAGAAATGGAGAATCCTCCTCCTCCTGCCAAAAGTTCAACAGTATTTAGGAAATGTTGGAGTGCTTATGATTTCATCATCAGATGCCCTGTAAGTGTATTCCTCTTACCGCTGATTGAAGATCATATTATGAAGTTCTTGTATTATTATGCCCACATTGGATATACATTTACTTAGAAATAAAATCAACTGAAATACTTCCATGTATTAAATCTGCAAATTGTATTTTACAAAAAAATCATATTAAAATGCTACAGGACAGTGTTATGGTTTAGGAAGTGTTAACAACATTACTTGGGTCTACAATCATGTATAAGGCAGGATAAACAAATATGAAGCCAGCCTACTGAGAATGAACTTTTCAGATGTGTCTATCTTATACAATTTTCCACCATGCAGTCTTCAAAACAATTGGGATGCTGGGTCTACATCTTTGAGAGATAAAAAGGTCTGCAATTTGTGATCAAAGTCAATAGGTCGATTTTGAGGCTCCTTGTATTTCTTTGTCATTTTTATTCCCAGATATGGGATAAGTTCACAATGATCTATGAACCGTTCCAACTTTCTCTTGTACTTCTTTCGTATATAATCAGAACTTCTGGGATTATATGCTGGGGAGAAATTAAAACAACAGTGATTACATCATGTATTAATTGATACTGCCATTATCATGGTACTGAAGTCACATGAAAGAAAGAGTTATGGAAATAATTAAGTGCCTACATATTTCTCACACTGACGCATACTTTGAGGTGATTACCTCTTGCTATTAACTAAAAATTTTGTTACAATGTTTAATTCCATTATTCTGTGTAGATATTTCTTCTTTGTTGTTTTTGTGATTCGTACAAATGGATCGTCTATACCTGTGCCATGTATCTATTGGAACCTAAATCAATACACTCCAGGCTGTTCATTTGATACTGACGCTTCGCCTTCTAGAGCAGTGGTTCTCAGCCTGTGGGTCCCCAGATGTTTTGGCGTTCAACTCCCAGAAATCTTAACAGCTGGTAAACTGGATGGGACTTCTGGGAGTTGTAGGCCAAAACATCTGGGGACCCACAGGTTGAGAACCACTGTTCTAGAGAAAGATCTCTCAATACAAACATAGGACTGTCTTCAAACTTAGTGACCTTCTCATAGACAGTACAAGGAAACAAGGTGACAAATTATCCCAGTGGTACTTGCCAGCAGTCCCAGATGGTACCATCATGGCATTAAGACTCATCTCCATGACTTCCAGTTCAACCAAACCCTACAATTTAGCCTGCACAGGAAAGGAAGCTCTCTGAAGCTATATCTGTTGAACCCTGACCTCCTTCAAACCAGATGGAGATTGGTATGGGTGCTATGGAATTTGTAGCAGGCAATAGTTCTAGGCACAGTGCCAGAGGGTAAGACACTGGATTCATCACCTCGATCATCTCAGAACAGGACCATCAAAGCCTGCCATTGTTTCTTGGGTGCCAACTTTTCCCCCTCTAATTCTAATTTCTCTACACGGGGACTCAGTGCTGTCACAGGCATTTCTACTGATCGGTTGTTTAGGATGTCTGTCATGGCAAGCTGAAATAGCAAGAATGAAGAGCTGCTCGACAGGCCAACAGAGGAGATGTAGGCAAGCAGCTCCCAGCACCCGATTATGCCTACCCTCAGCTACTGCTAAAGATGAGCCCTCAGCTGAAGCAAGTACTCCATAGCAATCTGTGCAAGCCTCAGTGAGTGAAGCTGAATATTTGGCGAGCTTCAGAAGGATTACATAGACCTATTAGAGCTTTGGTTACAGCAAGGAGGGCTTCACAAGCTTCTTAGATTATCTGGAAAATGCTTATTATTCTGGCGACAGCTGCAGCCTTGAGATGTAAGTCTTTTCAGTGGTTTGGCTCCTTCACTGCAAACGACATTGTTATTTGACTCAAGTACAATGTTCATTTATTTCTGACCTTCTGAACCTGTCTCTGTTGTTTTTTGGCTTGACTTCAAAATAATTCTGACTTTAGCTTCTTGGACTTTGAATCTTGACATTGGTTTACATTGTCCAGTTTGTTGTTGGATTTTGCACTGAATTTGTGGGCATCCCTGCTTGACCTTCAAGGATTCCTGTATATGGCTTCTTGGCTTTGGACTATGGACTTTGGCTGAAGTACTTGATACTGATGTTTGTTTTGGTCTGAGCTACTGATAAAGCTACTGAAAACTAAATGGACCAGTACAACCAGAGATATGTCGGTATGCCATTGGAAGATGGGACTCCCAGGTCGGAAGATGGCCAAAATGCTACTGGGGAGGAGCAGAGGATAAGTTCAACTAGCCCCAGATGTGATGACGCAGCTAGCTCAAAGCCGAAAGGAAGGCTAGCGGCCGACGGTACTGGAGGTGAACGACGAATCCGATGCTCTAAAGATCAACACACCATAGGAACCTGGAATGTAAGATCTATGAGCCAGGGCAAATTGGATGTTGTTATTGGCGAGATGTCAAGACTAAAGATAGACATTCTGGGGGTCAGCGAACTGAAATGGACTGGAATGGGCCACTTCACATCAGATGACCACCAGATCTACTACTGCGGACAAGAGGAACATCGAAGAAATGGAGTAGCCTTCATAATTAATAAGAAATTCGCTAAAGCAGTGCTTGGATACAACCCAAAAAATGACAGAATGATCTCAATTCGAGTGCAAGGAAAGCCTTTCAACATTACAGTGATCCAAATATACGCCCCAACCACAGCTGCTGAAGAAGCAGAAGTAGATCAGTTCTATGAGGATCTGCAGGACCTACTGGATAATACACCAAAAAGAGACATTATTTTCATGACAGGAGACTGGAATGCCAAGGTGGGAAGTCAAATGACAACTGGGATCACAGGCAAGCATGGTCTGGGAGAACAAAATGAAGCGGGACGCAGGCTGATAGAATTTTGCCAGGAAAACTCGCTGTGTATAACAAACACTCTCTTCCAACAACCTAAAAGACGGCTTTATACATGGACTTCACCAGATGGTCAGCACCGAAATCAGATTGACTACATTCTTTGCAGCCAAAGGTGGCGGACATCCATCCAGTCGGTGAAAACAAGACCTGGGGCTGACTGTAGCTCAGATCACGAACTTCTTATTGCTCAATTTAGAATAAAACTAAAGAGATCAGGGAAAATACACAGACCAGTTAGATATGATCTCACTAACATTCCTAGCGAATAGACAGTGGAAGTGAAGAACAGATTTGAAGGACTAGATTTAGTAAACAGAGTCCCAGAAGAACTATGGACAGAAGTCCGCGACATTGTTCAGGAGGCGGCAACAAAGTACGTCTCCAAAGAAAAAGAAAACCAAGAAGGCAAAATGGTTGTCTGCTGAGACACTGGAAGTAGCCCAAGAAAGGAGGAAAGCAAAAGGAAACAGGGATAAGGGGAGATATGCCCAGTTAAATGCGCAATTCCAGAGGTTAGCCAGAAGAGACAAGGAACTGTTTTTAAACAAGCAATGCATGGAAGTGGAAGAAGACAACAGAATAGGAAGGACACGAGACCTCTTCCAGAAAATTAGGAACATTGGAGGTAAATTTCAGGCAAAAATTGGTATGATAAGAAACAAAGATGGCAGGGACCTAACAGAAGCTGAAGAGATCAAGAGAAGGTGGCGAGACTATACAGAAGATCTGTATAGGAAGGAATAATAATATCGAGGATAGTTTTGACGGTGTGGTGAATGAATTAGAACCAGACATCCTGAGGAGTGAGGTTGAATGGGCCTTAAGAAGCATTGCTAACAACAAGGCAGCAGGAGACGACGGGATCCCAGCTGAACTGTTTAAAATCTTAAAAGATGATGCTATCAAGGTGATGCATGCCATATGCCAGCAAATATGGAAAACACAAGAATGGCCATCAGACTGGAAAAAATCAACTTACATCCCCATACCAAAAAAGGGAAATGCGAAAGACTGCTCAAACTTCCGTACAGTGGCCCTTATTTCTCATGCCAGTAAGGTAATGCTCAAGATCCTGCAAGGAAGACTCCAGCAATACATGGAGCGAGAGTTGCCAGATGTTCAAGCTGGGTTTAGAAAGGGCAGAGGAACGAGAGACCAGATTGCCAATATCCGCTGGATAATGGAGAAAGGCAGGGAGTTTCAGAAAAACATCTATTTCTGCTTCATTGAATACTCTAAAGCCTTTGACTGTGTGGATCATAATAAATTGTGGCAAGTTCTTGGCGGGATGGGCATCCCAAGCCACCTTGTCTCTCTCCTGAGGAATCTGTACAAGGACCAAGTAGCAACAGTCAGAACTGACCACGGAACAACGGACTGGTTCAAGATTGGGAAAGGCGTACGGCAAGGCTGCATCCTCTCACCCAACCTTTTTAACTTGTATGCAGAACACATCATGCGATGTGCGGGGCTTGATGAATGCAAAGCTGGGGTAAAATTGCTGGAAGAAACATTAACAACCTCAGATATGCAGATGACACCACTCTGATGGCCGAAAGCGAGGAGGAGCTGAGGAGCCTTCTAATCAAGGTGAAAGAAGAAAGCGCAAAAGCCGGGTTGCAGCTAAACATCAAAAAAACCAAGATTATGGAAACAAGAATGATTGACAACTGGAAAATAGAGGGAGAAAACGTGGAGGCCGTGACAGACTTTGTATTTCTAGGTGCAAAGATTACTGCAGATGCAGACTGTAGCCAGGAAATCAGAAGACGCTTACTTCTTGGGAGGAGAGCAATGTCCAGTCTCGATAAAACAGTAAAGAGTAGAGACATCAGACTGGCAACAAAGATCCGCCTAGTCAAAGCCATGGTATTCCCTGTAGTCACCTACGGATGTGAGAGCTGGACCTTAGGGAAGGATGAGCGAAGGAAGATCGATGCTTTTGAGCTGTGGTGTTGGAGGAAAGTTCTGAGAGTGCCTTGGACTGCGAGAAGATCCAACCAGTCCATCCTCCAGGAAATAAAGCCCGACTGCTCACTGGAGGGAAGGATACTAGAGACAAAGTTGAAGTACTTTGGCCACATCATGAGGAGACAGGAAAGCCTAGAGAGGACAATTATGCTGGGGAAAGTGGAAGGCAAAAGGAAGAGGGGCCGACCAAGGGCAAGATGGATGGACGGCATCCTTGAAGTGACTGGACTGACCTTGAAGGAGCTGGGGGTGGTGACGGCCGACAGGGAGCTCTGGCGTGGGCTGGTCCATGAGGTCACGAAGAGTCGGAGACGACTGAACGAATGAACAACAACAACTGATAAAGCAGGCATGTTTACCACAATGGCCAAAGTGGTGAAACGGATGCGAGTCCTCAGTTGTGGATTTGTTTTTTCAACAAGATTTTTAAAAATAGTTTTATATCCCACCTTCTTTCCCTTGTTGAGGGACTCTGAGCAGCTCACATACAGCAGCCATTCTGTACCATTCAACAGAACACATCATATTCAAAATACACATATATATTTATATAACTAATCTAAGAACAATAATACAGGGTAAGACAATTGTTAAAACCCCTTTAATTAAGGTTAAAAACCACCACTTTCAAATGGCCATATTCCATATCCATTGCATTTGACTGAACTTAACCGCTGTCTTCCCCAAAGGCTTCCTCCCAAAGGAATTTTTTTATTTGTTTCTTGAAGGATAACAGGGAGGGAGCCATTCCTTCAGTAGGGAGTTTTGGAGCTGAAGGGCCATTGTCGAGAAGGCCTTCTCTCTTGTTCCCACCAACTACACCTGAGACAGGGGTGAGACAAAGAGTAGGACCTCTCCAGCTGATTGTAGGGCTTGAGCAGCCTCATCTCGGGAGATGCGGTCAAACAGATAGGTTGGGCCTGAACCATTTAGGGCTTTAAAGGTTAAAACCAGCACCCTGAATTGCACCCGGAAGCATACTGGTAGCCAGTAGAACTGCTGTAGCAGGGGCGTTGTTTACTCCCTGTATGGTGTTCAGAGCCAGGGTCCATTGACAATCTCAGTACTATTGCTACCGGCTGGCCAAAAAGTCGTTAACTCTATCTTCTAGTCTGCCAACTTCTAATAAAACAGAAGGGCTTACAAGATGGTTGAGACTGACTTTAAGGACCTTTCCACTATCTAAAACCTTTATCTTTATATAGTTCATATTATTATATTATAATTCAAATGTTACTGTACCTTTCAAATGATAGGCGATAAACAGCAGAGCAGTCTTTTTCACACTTATAAATGGAAATTTTGGCTTTAAACATCCTACTTCATTCATTGCTTTTATCAAAGCAGTTGCCACACCCTAAAGCCATAAAAATATCCATGTTAGGAAACCTAATTATATTATTCCATAAATATGGCTTTATATTTTGTAGTTTATATTACTTGCTGTTACATGCCACTCTTTCTTGCTGCCTCATCACACTAGAGTTATAGTTTAGAAGGAACCTTTACACTGCTCAGTTTCACTACAAACTCCAGAATTCTGCAGGAGGAAGAAACTGGATTCAAAGTGGATCCATGCTATAGTGTGATGAGGCCCTTGGTTTTTAATATTTCTAGGGCCTTCCATTTTTTAATTACTTCTAAATCTGACAAACACACACCTCACTTCTTTATCCAAATCACTTATTGAACATACTGAGTGCACAAAAAATTAAGAAACAATAAAAGAAAATTTCTAAAAAAACTTCCTTTAAAAAAAAGGATTTTATATCATTATTACTGTGGACCAACATGATTTGCTATAACATAGATGTGGTTATGTCTTATGCTTTGTTTATGAGCAACTTGTCTTCCTCTAAAAAATATCCTCATAGACTGGATGAATGTAGATGAGATCAGCATACTGTTTTTGAAAATACTAGAAGTATAGTGACTGGAAGTGTAATCCTATGCATGTCTATTGGCAGTAACTCCTTCTAAGCCCTATGTATAGTTATTTTATTTATTCATTTCTTCTGTCATATGGACTCAAGTCAACTAACAATAAATATAAAACAAGGCTAATTAAAACAATATGAATGCATTAAATTGTAAAACTAAAAAACAATTAAACTATGTCATTAAAACCATTAAACATAAAAATATTAAAATGCATTAAAACTAAAGCAATGGACTTGTCTCCCCATAAACCAAGCTTAATATCTAGGTAAATAATATTAACAACGTTTTACAATAGGACCCACCTGTTCAAGATATCCCATCAGAGGAAGAGCTGTCAGAGGTACTGGCTCCTTTTTGGGGGGAAGTTTGGTTGGAAGGGTCTGATTCCAATATTTTTCTGGTAATCTAAATACACAAAAAGTGTTTTAAAATGAATATTTAGTTTCAAAATAAAGCAGTATTTAAAAATAAAAATGCATTAATGCAATCAGTACCTCATAAATTTCTCACGCTTTTCATCACTTTCACATATATATAATTTCTTCCGATAAAGTACAGCATATTCAATGTCTCCAGGTACAAGAGCTTCATATCTAAAAAGAGATAGTGAAAGAAATATAATTATTTTGTCAGCATGACATCCATCTCATGTATAACTTGGGGTTTTTTGGTTTGCAATTCCAGCTGCATTCATTAAATTTTGCATGGATCCAGATATAATTGTCTCTCATTTGTCATCCTCCCATGTTTTCCAGCCCCCCCCCCCCCCGCAATATATTAATACTTCAGAAAATCAATTAAAGCTTGAAGTTACTACAAAAGCCTAGAGCAGTGGTTCTCAACCTGGGGTCCCCAGATGTTTTTAGCCTACAACTCCCAGAAATCTCAGCCAGTTTATCATATAACCATAATAACCATAAAATTATTTTTGTTGCTACTTCATAACTGTAATTTTGCTACTGTTATGAATTGCAAAGTAAGTATCCAATATGCAGGATGTATTCTGGATGAAATTTGGCACAAATACCCGATATGCCCAAATTTGAATACTGGTGGGGTTGGGGGGGGGGATTGATTTTGTCATTTGGGAGTTGTAGTTGCTGGGATTTATAGTTCACCTACAATCAAAGAGCATTCCGAACTCCACCAACAATGGAACTGAAACAAAATTGACACACTGGAAGGGTTTGGTGGGCATAGACCTTGAGTTTTGGAGTTGTAGTTCACCTACATCCAGAGAGCACTGTGGACTCAAACAATGATGGATCTGGACCAAACTTGGCACAAATACTCAATATGCCCAAATTTGAACACTAGTGGAGTTTGGGGAAAATAGACCTTGACATTTGGGAGTTGTAGTTGCTGGGATTTGTAGTTCACCTACAATCAAAGAGTATTCTGAATCGCACCAATGATAAAATTGGACCAAACTGCCCTCACAGAAACCCCATGACCAGCAGAAAATACTATGTTTTCTGATGGTCTTTGGTGACCCCTCTGACACCCCTCACGACCCCCCAAGTGGTCTCTACTCCCAGGTTGAGAAACGCTGTTTTAGATGGAGTGGAGCATAATGTGTCCCTTTAGATGCAACTCCCAGTATTCCTCATCATTGGCTAAGCTGGTGTGGGTACTGGAATTGCAATCCAACAACATTTGGAGGACTACATGATTCCCACCCTATCTTTAAAGACAATGGCGAGCATTTATGGACTACAACAGTTTTAATCCTATATTGCTGGTGTTTTTATGTTAAGCTGCTTTGAGTCTCCTGCGAGAGAGATAAAGCAGGATATAAATAAATATAATAATAATAACCATCATCATCATCCATGGAAACTCCCATTATTATAAATCTGTTAAGACATGAATCCAACTGAAGTTGCCAAGAAAACTAGACTGACTGAATTAATGAGAAATTCTTACACACATGTATGTAATGTTGTTTTAAATGGTTCTGTGTTGGATTTAGGCCTAAGTCATAAGATTACCAAGGGCGAGAACTTCATGTTAATATATTGCATTTTTTCCATTATACTGTTTCACAGAAATTTCTGGAAATGCAAAAATCTTACCTTTGCTTCCCATCCAGATAAGTGACTGGACAGTATCCTTGCATTTCAGCTTGCATAGGGAATAAAGCCTTCACATCTGCTGCTGTCAGCTTCTTGGGTAGTTTACTTGGGAGAGGAAGAGCATAAGGTGCCAGTGGGGGAACATATCGTTCTGGATTATTCAGGAATTTCTGCATTGAATAAAAGCAGACATACCTAAGAAGAACCATAATGATCACCAGGCTGCTCATGACGCTATTAATTTTTTAGAGGAGTAAAGATATCCTTTTACTTTCTTATATCTTATTACTACTTAATATTTATTACCAGCCATATGGAATGGAGAAACAATATTTTTTTGTTTCGAGGACGTGATTCGATTAACAATTGGCCACAAAGCACTATTTATTTTTTGCTATGAAGGAACACTTTGAGATTGGAGGCTTTTCAAAAGAAAGGTAAGTGTCTAAATATTGCATTTCTTCTTTAAAAAATCATATTTCACTCTACTTTGGATGGTCCGAAAACAGAATGAGGCTATTTATTTGATTCATTCATTTACTTCAGGCATTTATACCCCGTTCTTCTCAACCTCCGAGGAGGGACTCAGAACGGCTTCCAAACAGGCAACAATTCAATGCCAGGCATGATATAAGACACATAATGAATACATCCATATACATTAAAATAGTTAAAAATATATACGTTACAACTATTTCGCCAGATTAAAATAGCCATATTTGGAAAGGAAATACAGTACTACCAATGGACTTTTCTTCTGACTGGTTTCATTCTGTCCCATTAAATCAATAATCAGAAACACAAACATATGACAGATAAAATGCCGCAACAGTGCAATGACCACAATACAGCTTTATGGAAAGGAGACATTGCTTTTAGCCAGTTCCTACATATTAATTCCTAGCACTGACAGAGTTCTTGAAAATATTTCAATAACTTCACATAACATCTGGCAAATTAGTTTAATTGCTATATTGCACATGGAGATATATGAGCATAGTTGCAGAGAGAATGGCTTGCCTTAAAGCCAACTGATGAGTTCAAAGACAGAGGTGAGATTTCAACAGATCTTACATCTCACAGGTTATCTACTACATGGCACCAACTATTTGTACATCGCCTACACCAGTATCTGGTTATTTCCCATATCAGTAATATATGTGTTCTGCTTGCTGCTAACACTTACATTCAGTTCTTCCTGTCCAGCCATTTTGTAGTACTGTCCTCGAAATTCTGCTGCAAACTGCAGAGATGGAGATTCAGAACAATCCACAAGTTCTCCCAGTTCTGCAAGGGTGACAGGGCAGTACTGCCCAAACTCCCCCAATCGAGACAGCAGTTCGTGTGGCATGATACACAGATCAGCAATGCTAGCTGCCTTTCCTGTTAACAGTGGATACAACAGTGTTGTCTTGTAGCTGTGAGAGTTTGTATTTGATAGACTAGACTTACTCGACCTATAGTTTAAATGGAAAGCTGTAATCTGATATCATGGGAATGGCAAATTGATATTCATCAATGTGAAGAACAAGAGAATTACTTCTGGACTTTTTGAACTGAGAAAAGCTTTATGAGGAGAGAATAAAAACATATTACCCTACCCATTATTAATGTATTAGTATGCTTTGTAGGTGTTAGTTGTACTACCAGTATAATGTTTCCTTTGAGGCTGAAAATTTTCATTTGCTATATAAATTATTTATTCAGACAACACTAAAGCATAATTGGATTTTAATCAAATAATTTTTCACTCGTTTAAAAACTGAACCTGGAATGTGGTTAGCAGGTTATTCAATGTCTCTCTCAACAAAAATATGAAAGAATTTTGGATTCAATTCCATGGATTTCAATGAGAATTATTTCAAGAAAATTGTATAGAGAATTACAAGAAATATTACTTGCCTTACATTGGATAATATTACTTTATCAGAAATTTAAAACAAGGCGTGTTCTCCCTCCCCCATGAGAGAATCACTATTCAAAATGTATGGACCTGTCATATCTGCTAGTTGATTGTGCTAGATTTTTAAAAACACAGTCTTTGTCTCTGATGCTGCTCTGAAAAAGCATGCAGCTTGGCATAGCAGTAGAAAAAAATAACACATTGAAATAAAAATGCAAAACATGGAACCAGAATATAACATTGTATGACTCAGAGATTTTAATGGATTCGGGTTTTCCTCTATAAGAAACATTTGGATAGCTCATGAGCTTCTTCCAAAGGATATCTCTGTGCTTAAACATTAAAGTTACTTCTGGTTTTAAGGTAAAAGCAAATCCAAGTACAGGCAGTCCCTGAGTTACAAACATTCGGATTACAAATGACTCACAGTTAAGAACGGGGACGAGGCAACAGGAAGTTGGGGAAATCTACTCCTAGGAAGGGAAATTCACTCCTGAAAGAGTTATCATGGGAAAAGGATGTCTCCACTGAAGCTTTCTCAACAATCCTTGTTTCCACAATAAACCAAAATTTTCACAATCCAATTTGTATGGCTGGAATCACACTTACAAATTCAACTTAAGAACAGACCTACAGAACCTATCTTGTTCATAACCTGGGGACTGCCAGTATAACATAGCTGATTTCAAACTGTAATTGCATTAGACCCCTTGCTAATTTATCTAAAACAGGATGTTCTGCTCACCTTGTCGTATTCTTTCTAGATATGTCTGAATTTGTTTAGTGACTGCTTGTGTTTCCTGAAGCACTTTGTCCCAAATCCACCATTTGCTGTGGGATGCATCAATTACATACCAGTTCTGGTGCTGTACCTCATAGTACGATCTGATCTCTTCAATTTGTGCTTTGTAACAGGAATGCTTGACAGAAAGGATGTGGGAGCTGTTGTGCATCGGATAGGGTAAACTGAGAAGAAAATTTCATGTGGATTTATACCAGGATTATCCAGATTGCCTCCTAAAAACTATTTTCTACATGTTCTGGTGACTAAAGGCATTATCATACCATGCTGTTATATCCTCATAGTTGTATCTAAGCCTTATTGCACGATACCATTGCTCTCCAGGCAGTTGCACTTCAGGTTAATTGAAAATGCTTTCTTTTCACACTGGAAATAATCTTTCACTAACTCACCTTTTCTGCAACAATTCAGTTACTAGTTTGGGAGTTAATATTTCATTGTGCTTTCTACTGTAAATGTGCCATTAGTGGGCATGATGTAGGTATGGCCAGGGAAAATTTATGAAGAATGGCAGTCAAGAATGTTTACAGTTTACCAGCATTTTTGTTGCAAAATGTCTCTTTAAAACTTTAGATTACACTGGCCAACACACATTTTGGTGCCTCAAATGTTTCTGGGTATATTTGACCTGTCAATTGTAAAAATGGCACTACTTTCCCTCTATCTGTGCCAGTTTTTGAGATACAGAATATGTGCCATCTCCCAGTTGCCATCTGTTCACCCATAAAGAATCATGATAACCATATCTAAGAAACTAGAACTGTACACAGTACACACAATGTAATTTTCTGAGTGCCACAAATACCCCAATAATAGGCCTAAAAACCAAGGCACTAAGAATTTTGTGTGTGGTTAGGCTGTGTTATATTACTAAGGGATTTGTTTCAAAGGCCTTATTATTTTATGCCCTTACTGAATAGTACCTTTCAGAATTTTGTTTATCCAATAGCGCTCTTCTGAAAACCTCCTTCACATCAATTTGTAACTCAAAGATTTTTACAGGAATTATTTTAATTTCTTCCAAGAGATTGACTTGCTTTTGTGTTACAGGGTATCCATCAATAACAAATCTGTAGAAGAAAAAAAGAAACAACTCTAATTTGGAATCAGGTTTATTTGGGGATAGTTTCAATTTCTGTATTGCAAACTGTTGTTAATGAAATACATAATGGACTAAATCTGATTGTTAGTATCCACTACAGTAAACCTACTGGTGCAATAAGATTTATCTGGAGGTTAATTCTTTGTTCAACAGCTGATCCATTGTGCTGTCAGACCTAAGCAACTGGATTTAAGCCAATATATGCCAGTATTCTGAAGTAAGAATAAGACCCTAAAGAGAGCTTAATAGGATATTCAGATTTTATTAGCCCATCAAAAATTTAAAGATATATAAAATATTTTCATAGAGTATAATCATCATTTTGAAAAGATACATCATCTGAATAATGTATTATCTAGGGCTAGAATGAAGCTAGTAAAGCAGAATGTACATGACACCTTATATTACAGAAGAACTAAAATTGATCAATAGTTATGGAAGCAAGCTTTTTTTGAGTTAGCTGAAGTTAAACGTGATAGGTTCAACTTTGGCTTTGCACCAGCAAAAAGGTCTTGTTGCATGTAACAATGCAGATTTTATGCATATTTACTGAGATGCAAGTGTCATTATGTTTATTGGTAAAATGTACACAGAAGCCCAGCTATGTTTCTTCCAATTTCATGCAGAATTTTAAAAATATCTTTTCACGCATGCATGTATGTATAGAATTTTCTGAAATGTCATGCTAGCAAAACACTATGCAGTCTTTAGACATGATTTAAAGTAGTCAGGAGATTGCTGGCTGAGAAACCAAAATGCTAAAACATTATTACAATGAAAATGGCTCACCCTGTGGTGTTACACACAGTATCCATCAATACAGTATCAAGAGCCCTGATGGCGAGTTCATCAGGCGCAGTCAATCCTTTATGAAGGTGCCACTTCAGTACAAGGGCCAGTTCAGTCTCTGGCTGATTGTTTAACACCCAGCGGAGAGCATCTCCCATGGAAAGGCGCAGTAATCCATAGGCACTTGCAAATTTTTTGGCAACTGCAAAACAGGTCCATAATGAATGAGAAGTATATGGTTGCATTAACACAATATACTGGTCCTATTTTCCACAAGAAACAAGATTAGGGCAAAAACCTTAAGCTGCTGTGGATATTGCTGCAATATAAAACTATTCAAAAGTAGCCTATTGGAGGAGATTCATGGGCACTGACATTATCTGAGATTCACAAATGATTAATGTTCACAGATAGAAATGCAGTCCATGTGATTACCTTTTAATATAATCACAAAAAAATCAGGGAACATTTTTTATTCTCTCTGTATATGATCAAGCATAACTGATATTCCCTCTCTGATGTGCACCTTAATGAGGGCTGAGCACTTTCAGTGGCCACAAAAGGATGAAGAAAATTTTGAAGAGGAAAAAAATAGATATACAACAGAATGGCTTGAATCCTTTGATTAATTACGTTTTATGTTTCAGGTTCCACTTTCTACAAAGATTGTTCACCCCCTTATCTCTGGGTGCCTGGTAATAGTGAACATGATATTTTGATTATATTTAAAAGGAAATCATACACAGAATAGCACTGGATGACCTAGAAAAGCTGACAGTCATTTCTGGGGATTTTTTTAAGGTTGGGTAAGTGAAAATGTAAATATGAATTGAAATGCTTATTGTACTAGCCATAGGCCATGACATAAAATATACAACCTTTTAAGTACAATAAGCACTTTCCAATATAAATATTAAAACATGTTCCATACTGGCTCTTTAAAATTATAGTAGTAGTGACATGATAACAATTACAAATGTCTGATTTGTATCATCCCAAAATATCTCAATTTCCATTTCTAGCTTCTGCTGTGGACTTTACTAGTTTGTAATGGAAATATTGAATCCATGGATAAGGAGATTTTACTGTATTTTGATTACCTACCTGAATCCTGAATTTTTATTTATGTATTTATTTATGATGATACTTTTCTTTCAACGTGAGACTCTCGTTCTCCCTGCAGCCCTTGGAGCCACCCGGAAATATGCTCCACATGCTTTCCTCGACCCCCAGAGCATTTCTTGTTGACATCAATATGTTATACATTATGTACTTCCGTAAGAAAAGTCTTTCTTTGAAAAAATAATTTTAAAAAACACAAAGAAAACTAAGGAATACAGATCCTTTTCTGAACAAGCCCCCTGCAACCATAGAAAGGTTACCAAGCAGATGGATAAGTTCACATGCATATTTAGAAAGCATAAAAAAATTGAAGCAAGGTAATGCACAATAGAAAACCACCCAAGAATCAACTGTGTGGCTTGTCATAATGAAAACATCTCTGTTTGTGTGAATGCTTCTTCATTGTTGATGTAGAGATACTGCTTTGTTTAAAATGCAATAATATGAAAATGCTATAGTGTGCCCCTAAAGCCATAATAACTTTTAAATGTTGGAATTCAAGTGGGACAAACTAAAATTTTACCTGTTGTCTTTCCAGCTTTTGGAGGCCCCACAATTGCAATCTTCACTGGCACGGTAGGTTTCGGTTTAGGCTGACGAAGATATTTGATGGGATTTTTGATAAATGTATCTCTGTTTTCTTTGCTTGTAAAAAAATAAACACAGTTGCGATGGAGAACAGGGAAGCTTGGCATATCCTGATGTTGGTAAGGCTTGATAGCATCTCCTTCACTTAGCTGCAATAAATGAAGAGTTACTGATACCCAGTAAGTCAGACTGTGTGTCTAGAAAGTGATCATCTGTACATTCACACATTTGGGTTTGTGCTAGCATAGAGCCATTTTTAAGAATCTACTAGATAATGTATTCCCAACCTGGGATATGCTAAGTACTAGTGGTATTAACCAGGACATGTTGGGGTAAACAAAACAATGGAATAATTGCGCGAAATGGTGCATACACTAACAATGTAAGATAAGATAGAAGGCAAAAGCCATGAAACCATGGGAAGGAATATCTGAATTCATAATTAATGCCAAAGCCAGGAATTCTTGTCTATGACTTTTGTTATGTGTAAGAGTTAATACAAGCATTCAAAATGTCTGTAAAAGCAAGGAACACGATGTCTCTTTTACCTTGATTGGATCCCACTGACCAAAATTGCTTGGATGTTTATAGGAGAGACCTATCATCTTGCGTGCAAGTGAATGACTTAATGGATAGCATTTCTCAAAAATGCTTTCGCGATTTTCCACTAGGTTCTTTAGCTTTTTATACAACTGGTAGCACACAATATGTGGTTTACGCTTACAACTAAGAGTTATTTGAGGTATCAATAATTTGTCAAGTTCCTCCTGAAAATGAAAGGAAACAAAAAGGCAGAAGTCACTCACATGGGCCAGGAATTACTATAAATCAGAAGTCTGGCAGCTTATTTGGGACAGAGACACTAAATTGGGTTACGTATCCCCACAGAACAGGTAAGATCTGTATCTTGATGCTGAGGAACCTGGCTCTGCCTTCTCAGACCAAACTAGTGAGAAAATCCTTAATATAATACATGCGGACACCATATCTCATAAAATCAAGATATTTACATTTTTCTGCAACATTGCACCCTGAGTTTTGGCAAGCAGCAAATGATATGACTGTTTTATAGAACTATCCACAAAATCTTTAGTAGTGAGTGTGGTGCGCAACTGCCATAGGACCCCTCTGCATTGACCATTTAAAGCAGTTCAAAGTTAGCTTCAAATTGCGGTAGCCAGACAACAAATTCCCACAAAAGAAAGCTCTTAATGTGAATCATATTCTGTAGTTTGTGTAATCACCATTTGGGCCTCAAACTCATTCCAGGATTTCCTATGTAATCATCTGCACAGCAAGACCAATGTCTGCAATACCAATTTGAAACTGCATTAAATGGCCAGTATAGATGGGGTATAGGCTACACCAAGTCTTTATTTGGTCTGCCATTATAACTCATTTTAAGTACAACATTTTTCATTGTATTTAAAACTGCATTAAAACATCCTGATAATCTTTATGATAATAGTTGGAATTATTTTGCTTTTTAAAATCAATGATTTTGGCAACAGCTGCAAGACTGAAGGCAAATTTTAAGGGCAAAGTAAAAAGGAAGATAATACTGTTTGATACTCAACTAAGTGATAGATTTATTTTTGACCTTTGCACCATAACACAGAGCATTTTCCTTTGTTAGTGTAGTTAATTTAGCTAAGTGTATTCCTAAAGATGAATAGGTAATCATCAGACCCGTAGCCAGGATTTCGTTTCGGGGGGGGGGGGGGGGGAAATTTCAGGGGGGGTTCGGGGGGGCTGAGTTTCGGGGGGGGCTGAGTGAAAGAGGGTCTAGCCTAGCAAACCTTTTGTATCATTACCCCAATACCCCCATGCATATGGGATATATTGAGTATGGTGATCAGATCATGATATGAATAAACATAACAGTTTAAATAATGCACCAGTAAGGCCTTTTCGCGAACCACCATGAGAATTGGGGGGGGGGGGGGGCTAAAGCCCCTCAAGCCCCCCCCCCCCCCCCGGCTACATGCCTGGTAAGCATTGAGTCGCCTGTCTGGGCTGAAATATGCGGTATAGAAATAAAGCAAATAAATAAATAAATAATCATACATCCTTCTGTAAGCAACAGAATTAAATTAAACATAATTAGAGCTAGTCTATTAATGTAAATTGCAGAGATGATTCATTTGGGAAGATTCCAATACTCAAGGCAACAGATACCATTTGTTCAAAAATATGGTCAGTCTTATGACAACCCTCCTTTTATCATATCCTGTTGCCTGGCACCATTAGGCTTGTAGTTTTACAGGGCATCTAAGTGAAGTAGGATTAAGGTAGGATTGACTATCTTAAATAGTTTTATTCTGGAAGCTTGTTTTCTTTCATTGCTAAAATTGAGATAGTATTGACAATTTCAAAAGAACCATATTCCAGAAATCTCATTTCTGGAAATATAAATGACACAGATTTGTAAAATTAATTTCTTTGATTTATGCACTAAATTAGAATATAATAAAGAATTCTTTAAATACCTGTACAGTTTGTATATTAGAAATATCAGTTTCATATTTCTCTGCAATTTCAGCTTTTATACGGTCAATGGCATCACTTTCTTGTTCTTCTTCCTCATCTTCAACCTCATCCTCTTCTTTTGGGAATTCTTCTTCCAGAACAGCTTCAATATCATCTTCTTCTTCCTCATCTTCATCTTCATCATCTAGGAACTCATCTTGACGTCTAGCCAGACCATACTACACAATAAAATATTTAATGAATGCAACATTCCTACAAAGATTTCTATAAAACAGAATGGACAGAAATTATTTTCAAAACATCTTTATTCAGTATTTGTGTACTGTTCCTTTTTAGAAATGCTACAAAGTGAAATACAGTATTCACACCTAAGCCAAATTTAATATTCATTGGGTGAGATCCAGATTTAGACTAAAGCATCCCTTCTCTCTACTATTTCTCTCTATAGCAGTGGTTTTCAACCTGTGGGTCCCCAGATGTTTTGGCCTTCAACTCCCAGAAATCCTAACAGATCCTTCAGCATATGAGTTCTAGGACTTTTAATCCCCCAAAATTCCCAAGGTTTGTTTTTAAGCACATCTATCAGAAGATAGTACTGATATTGTATGGTGTCACCACTGATTCTTTGAGGAATTTTCCAGTGTGGAAGAAGGCAGGGATTTCTTAGTCTGATTAATCCTAATTTAAAGTAAAACATTTAGATTTTTCTGTTGAAGCCAAATACGTTTTATCTACAATAAAATACCCCTTTTATTAGTTCAGTTACAGCACAATTATCTTTCTATAAACATTTCTAATGCCACACTGAGAGCCATTTTATCATGTAAAATGATCATACTCTTTCTTAGGACAAAATGATTATTTATTTATTTATTTATTTATTTGGGGTGCTTCTACCCTGCCCTTCTCAACCCCCTAGGGACTCAGGGCAGCTTACAAAAGGCACAATTCGATGCCTAACAATACAATATACAATACAATATACAATACACAAATTTACCATATAGTATCACAAAATACAATACAATATACAATACACAAATTTACCATATAGTATCACAGTTATAACTAATTAAAACAATCAAACAGTATACTAGCAGCAATAAAAAAATCTTGTGGTCAATGTTCACCAAATCCAAGTCCGTAAACCATTTAGCATCGTCATTGTCCTTTCCTACTCTGGTCATTATTGGTTGTCTTTGTTCATCTGCCAGCTTACCCGAAGGTCTGGTCCCACATCCAGGTCTTTAGCTTCCTTCTGAAGGAGAGGAGGGATGTTGATGTCCTAATTTCCCCGGGGAGCGCATTCCACAGGCGAGGGTCCACCACCGAGAAGGCCCTGTCCCTCGTCCCCACCAGTCTCGCTTGTGATAAAGGTGGGGCCGAGAGCAGGGCCTCCTATTATAATATAGTTAAAAATAAGAAGTCATTAAACAAAATTGTAACAACTGTGGCTTTCCTACCGCTGCTTTCTTCTTTGCTTCTGCAACAAGCTCTGCTCTTCTTTTGGCAATTTGTTCACTCTGTTAATAAAAGATGTGAAACTAATTTTTTCTATTTTAAAAAATGGTCAAACTAAAAAAACAAAATAATACAGTTTTTAGAGATCTCTCAACCATAAATCAAAGCTTCCTGATAGCAGATAGCAACAACAGAAATGCTAAAATACTTGTCCTTAGATGAGTGAATATATAGATGGTTTAAAGTATAACAGCATTTGTGAATGCTCCCTCATTCAGTTTACACAAACCTCTGGTCCAAAGCATTTTGTATGAGAGATACTCAGCCTGCACTACTAAACATAGTTTTGTAGTTTTGAACAGATTAGAGAACTGTGCTGTAATTTGTTTTCATAGATGAACATTTTGAATTTCCATAGCTATATTTCAAGTTCTTAAAACCAAGTCAAACATCGCTGCCACGTCTTGTTTCTCTAACCTAGACTCCAGAAGCTAAAGTATTTATTCTACTCAGAGCTTGGGACAGTTACTTTTCTGTACTACAACTTTCAGTTTTGATTGTGAGTGCTAATGGCATACAGAATATAAAAAAGAAAACATCTAGAGTTAATCAAACACACATGATACAGATATGCAATTCTCCCAAACCTCCCACCCCCACCCATGAACCCCCACCCATGACTTCTGGCACCTGTGCACCACCCAGTGTGAAACTAGTATCTCAAAGAGAGAGAGAGAAAAGAAAAGGAAACAAACAAACAAAAAACCCTTACCCTTATCTTATATTAATAAATTCCCCTCGCAACTACTTTAAAATCTATTTTTGTCTTCCTTTCTAGATATCAAAGTGAAAGCCTCCATTTCCTAACAAAGTCTTCCTTATTTCCTCCCTGAATTCTATTGGATAGCTTGGCCATTTGGATATACTCTAATAATTTTTCTCTCCAGTTCTTTAGCATTAATTCCTTTCCCCTTTTCCAAGATTTTGCTATTATTATTCTCGCTGCAGTGAAACTGTATTGAGAGATTCCTACATCTCCTCTACTAATTTTTTCACCAAATAACCCTAAGAGGCACATTTCTAGATTTTTTTCCTAACCTTTTTAGTGATAATTTTCTTTGCTTCTTTAATCGCTTTTTCCCAAAATGTTTGTACTAACTTACAGGTCCACCAGGCATGGAAGAAGGTAGCTTTCTGTACTTTACATCTCCAACAACCCCCCCCCCCCCCCCGTGAGATTTATCTATTTCAGCAATTATCTTAGGTGTTATAAAGCTTCTATAAAACATTTTATACATGTTTTCTCTAACAGATCCCACTACTGAAAATTTAAATCCTCTTTCCCAAAAATATTACCAATTATCTAACTCAATACTTTTCCCCTAAACCTTTAGCCCACAAGATTATTGCTGTCTTTATTTGATTATCTTCTAGATTGTACTCTAATATGTATGTATATAATTTGGAAATTAATCCTTATTCCTCTTCTCCAAAATGTTTTCCAATTCTGATTCCTACATTATTTTTTAAAAATCTATCAACTCTTCTCTTCCTTTTAATTTCCAATGCTCTTTAATTAAGAACTCCCTATAAATTCTCATTTCCTCCTTAAAGATTGGATTTAGCATTTCTTCCAGAGGGCAGGGTTTTTGGTTCAATTTCCACCTTATATCTTTTCCAAATTGCTAAAAGACTAGCGCTTATAGGGTGTTTACAGAATTTTTTTTACTAATCTTATCTTTTTCATATCAAAAATATGCATGCTAGCCAAATCTTAGGTTATATCCTATATCTAGGTTGAGTAAAGCTCAATTTTCTAATCTTACCCACTCCAGGTGAAGCCTACTTCTTTGTAATAATAAGTAAGGTCTGGCAGCACTAAGTCCCACCTCTCTTTGGTATCAATTAGGTTTTTATAAGCAATTCTAGCTTTGTTACATTCCATATAAACTTGGTCAGATCCTTCCTCCATGATTCAGAAATCCTCACTCCTTTAATTATCGATAGATTTTGGAATAAAAACAACATTTTGGGTATGACCATCATTTTCATCACAGCTATTCTCCCCATCCAAGTTAGTTGAATTCTTTGCCATATTTCCAAATTTTCTTGAATCTCCTTCCACGTTTTTTTCATAATTATTTTGATACTAGGTTGGGGACCCGGCGCTGCCCGGGTTATTTGAGAAAGGAATTGTGTATCAAGGTTGGTCTTTATCAGTTATTT